TCAGCATCATCATCATCATCATAAACATCCAACTCGTCACTCCTCCTCCTCCTCCTTTTCATTATGCTCCTCCTCCTCCTCCTCCTCCTCGTCATCATCTTCCACCCCCCTGGCATCGGAGTTCGTCACACGAACGCTGCCAGACACCCCCGCCAGCAGCCTTCGCGGCTGGGGGAGGGGGTGGGAAAAAGGCACACCCGAAACAAGTACGATGCCCATCAACGAGAAAATCACAACCAACAGCGTCCGCTTTGGGGTAGGCGATTCCGTGTCCAAATTGGGTACAACCGCGGCGACACCGACGGCACATCCTGCTCAAGATGGGCAGGAACTGTTGTTGGTCGGTCCACGTTGTTTTTTCTTCCTGCACACACAGAGGAGGAGCCCAAAGAAAAAACCGGTCTTGAGTAACACTTCCGCGGCGCAAGCTCAGGAAAAACAGCGGTATCGAATAACTCCTCGGCGCGTCAGCGCGCAACGAAGATGTCACGAAACTCGGCCCGCAGATGCGAGCGAAAGCTGGAGGAGGAGGAGGAGGATGAGGAGGAGGAGGAGGAGGAGGTCGAGGAGGAGGAGGAGGAGGAGGTCGAGGAGGAGGAGAAGGAGGAGGAGGAGGAGGAGGAGCGGCGGAGGAGGTGGTCCCCAGTCCACTCCTAGAGTCCCGGCGCACCAGCTCGCCGGGCCAGGCTCGGCCGCGGTGGCGGGGGGGGGACCCCCGCGGAAGGCCACAGAGGCACCCCTATCTCAGCTAGCCCTCCTCTGTGAAGGGGCCCTGGGACACACAAATACATACACACAAATAACAAGATTCCCATATTTTCGTATATTTTCTGGGTGTTTGTCTTCCCCCCCAATTCCCATATTTTTCAATATTTTCCTGGGAGTCGACGATTAAGTGTGTCTGTGTGTTTTTTCCCCTGCTGACTCTTGCTGCTGCTGCTGCTGCTGCCGCCGCCGCCGCCGCCGCCGCCGCCGCCGCTGCTGCTGCTGCTGCTGCTGCTGCTGCTGCTGCTGCTGCTCTCAACATCCCCCTCCCGAGGAGGCACGTCAGGGGAGAGCCCGCTCCGAGGGGGAACGTCGAGCTCGAACCGGCGACGCACATCGGCGACAGCTCGACAAGAGACCCCTCCTCCTCCTCCTCCTCCTCCTCCTCCTCCTCTCGTCCTCCTCCTCCTCCGTCCTCCGCCTCCTCCTCCTCCCCCTCCTCCTCCTCCTCGCCTCCGCCTCGCCTCCGCCTCCGCTCCGCCTCCGCCTCCGCCTCCCTCCGCCTCCGCTTCATCCTCCCTCCTCCTCCTCCTCCTCCTCCTCCTCCTCCTCCTCCCTCCTCCGCCTCCTCCTCCTCCTCCTCTCCTCCTCCTCCTCCCCTCCCGCCTCCTCCTCCTCCTCTCCCCTCCTCCTCCTCCCCTCCTCCTCCTCCTCCTCCTCCTGCTCCTGCTCCTGCTCCTGCTCCTGATCCTGCTCCTCCTCCTCCTCCTCCTCCTCCTCCTCCTCCTCCGTCCTCCTCCTCCTCCTCCTCTCTCCTCCTCCTCCTCCTCCTCTCAGAGAGGGAAGCAGGTCGGGGCCTCGAACTCGGTCCCAGCGCCGATCACGGGCGCCGAGTTCCTGCGCCGGCAGGGCGACTGCGGCGGCGCGGACTGCAGGCCCAGCAGCAGCGGAGAGAGCTCCATCGGTGGGGGGTCATGATGCGGCGCCAAAATACTGCGCGCACCGGTGCACCCTCCCCTCCTCCTCCTTCCCTCCTCCTCCTCCTCCTCCTCCTCCCTCCCTCCTCCTCTCCTCCTCCTCCTCCTCCTCCTCCTCCCTCCCTCCTCCTCCTCCTCCTCCTCCTCCCTCCTCCCCCCCTCTCCTCCTCCTCCTCCGCCTCCTCCTCCTCCTCCTCCTCCTCCCTCGTCCTCCTCCTCTCTCCTCCTCCTCCTCCTCCTCCTCCCTCCTCCTCCTCCTCCTCCCCCATCCCTCTCCCCCTCTCCCCCCCCTCCCGCCTCCTCCTCCTCCTCCTCCTCCTCCTCCTCCTCCTCCTCCTCCTCCTCCTCCTCCCCCTCCTCTTATTATTCTTCTTATTATTGATATTCTTATTATTATATTATTATTGTAAGTCGTATTCTTCGTATTGTCATTATTATTCTTGTTATTTTTTATAATAGTATTCGTACTATCAGTATTATTAGTATGTTTATTATTATTACCATCATTATTATTATTGTTATTATTCTTATTATTATTATTACTATCAGTATTATTACTACTATTATTATTACTATTATTATTATTAGTAGTAGTAGTAGAATTGTTATTGTTATTATTAGTCGTATTATTATTGTTATTATTATTGGTATTATTGTTATTATTATCATTATTAACATTAGTAGTATTAGTGTTAGTGTTATTAGTAGTAGTATTATTATTAGTAGTAGTAGTATTAGTATTAGTATTATTATGAGTAGTATTATTATTAATAATATTATTATTGTTCGTATTAGTAGTATAAGTATTATTATTAGTA